GAAGAGAAAATCGGATATGTGTCAGATCCGCGTCATATGCATCAGGTTTTAAAGAGACAGTGCTGATTTTAAAGTGAAACCTGCTGAAGTCTGTCATTGATGTAAATCAAAGAACAAAAGAAAAATAGAAATCTTTGGACTGTTCTAGTCGCTGATTAAGGTACAATTTTGGTCCCTTTTTTCTGTATATAGCCTATACATCCACAACAATTTCTGAAACCACAGACAACCTTATTATTTGTATGGCCATCACATAAAAAGGTCTAAATCCTTAGTCTAAGGATGTGGAAAATAATTAAAGGTTCTCTCTTGCGCTGCACCTTCACTTCCCTTTTCTTCATTTTCCCCAATATCTCTATCTCTTCCTTTTTTTTTTTGCCTGTCACTTCTTCACCAGCAGGTCTACTGTTATGAACAGAACTGTGTCCACCTTGTTGCAAACAACCACCCCATTTCAATATGTTGTTAGCACATAATGTTATTTATCTTATAATGACCTAAATACCCTAGATTTAACAAACCTATATTACTTACAAATATACACTACCAGTCAAAAGTTTTTGAACAGTAATATTTTTAATGTTTTTTTAAAGAAGTCTCTTGATTCAAAGTACAGCAAGAGCAGTAATATTGTGAAATATTTTTACTATTTAAAATAACTGCTTTAGATTGGAATATATTTTAAAATGTAATTTATTTATGTGATCAAAAAGCTGCATTTTCAGCATCATTACTGCAGATTTCAGTGTCACATGATCCTTCATAAATCATTCTAATATGCTCATTTGCTGTTCAAGAAACATATTTGTTGTTATTATTATTATTATTATTTAAAACAGTTGAGTACATCAGGATTTTTTGATGAATAGAAACATCCAAAGATCAGCATTTATCTGAAATAAAAAGAAAAATTTAACTATATAAAAAAATATATGCTCATGAAATAAAAACTAAATTGAAACTACTTAAACCCTTGAAACTGAAACTGACATTTAAATACATTGGAAAACAATATATATATATAAAATAAATACAAATATGAAAAAGCAAAATCATGAATTCACTCGTTGGGTAAAGGCTTCAGCGCTCTGCAGGCACCCTGTCTGTCAGACTAAGGTGGATTACACCTTTCCAAAGGATAGACATGCTGTATGGCAAACAGCAGGAAAATCCTAATGAGTTTATGTAAATATAGGAGCTTTTAAAAGTAGATGGTGAAGAGTCAGAAGCATGATGTCAGCCGGGACAGAGCATTAGGTTCTTCTGACCACTGTGGCACACTGACCTAAACAGGCATGTAGCGTTTTCGTAAACACAAAAGAGCAACGTGAACATGCCTGGTTCTTCTCCACACATCTCAAGTTTGAAATCAGCCCAGACATCTGTGGAACACCCTGATACAGTTACTTTACCCCAAACAAAACAATATGGTTGAAGACAGTTTGAAATAAAACTTAGCTGTAATAGTGCCAAACTGCCAACAATCATCAAATATAACCTTAATAATAATGTGATTCAGTTTGGATTACTCTAATTAGTAATATGGGTTTAAATTATATCAAGGATCGTGTGACATTGACACAAGATCCACCAATGGCGTGAGTTTGGGGCGGGGCTAAATGTCTGCTTAAACAGCTGCAAATATGAGGAGTGTTTAAAGCTAGTTCTCACTCACTCATAAAAGAAACATCTGAACCCCTATGGATGTGAGGTTTGGGAAGGTGATTGGGAGGCAGTCAGCAGAGGTGGCAAAGAAGCAGGAGAGCAAGTAATGAAAGTAAGGGAAGAATAAATCAGCTCGATTAAGATGAACGGAACCGTGTGATTGCTACTCCTGCTCTTTGATTTAACTCAGAATGCTTCGCTCTGTGGTCAGCTAATCTACTGACAGGTGGCCTCGGTGTAATTAAGCTGAAGGGCTCTTGTTTAATCGCCTCTGGAGCGAGCATGCTGGGAGTCTGACCCCACATTCCTGGGGTCTTGCCCATTATATGCGTGCACACACAAACACACACACATACACTGAAACATGGGTCTGCAGCTAAGACAAAGTCATGTTGGAGTCTTGATGTATGGCATTGTGTGGCGGCTCCTGTGTTCCTGATGATGCTTTTGTGTAATTAAATGCGTGAACTAATAATTGCGTTGAAATCACCTGAGCTGGAACGCTTTCAAGCATCATTGATTTAATGATGGTTAATCTTGAATAACATTTATAGAGGATAATGCATTAAGTGTGGTGTAAAGTGGTAAAAGGTACACATGCCTTCGGCTATACTGTATATATACATATAGTATTTAGTACTTCAATTTATTTCTACTTTTTGTTTCATTTTTTTTCAAGATTTACATTTATATCTAATGAACAGAATGAATAATAATAATTAACACACACACACGCCCATAGGCGTAATGATTATATATAGAGTGTGTTAATGAGGAAAAAAAATTAACTTAAATGATTTTAGCAAATGGCTGCAATATAACAAAGAGTGAAAAATTTAAGGGGGTCTGAATACTTTCCGTACCCACTGTATATATATATATATATATAGAGAGAGAGAGAGATAAGATATATATATATATATATATATTAAGGTTGACTAACCTGTTTTTCTGTTTAAAGCACCACAAAATGTTATATATATATTTTGTTATATGATATATACACATTTTGAGTGACGTGTGGCCAAGTATGGTGTACCATACTCGGAATGTGTGCCCATCCAAGTGCATACACACAGCTGTGAGTAATGAACACACACACCCACACCGTGAACACACACCTGGAGCAATGGGCAGCCATTTTTGCAGCAGTGCCCAGGGAGCAGTTGGGGGTGTTCAAGGGTCTCACCTCAGTCATGGTATTGAGGGTGGAAGAGAGCGCATTCACTCCCCCCACTTACAATCCCTGCCGGTACCAAGACTCGAACGCATGACCTTTGGGTTACAAGTCTGACTCTCTAACCATTAGGCCATGACTGCCCCTATATAACATTTTGTGGTGCTGTAAATGGAAAAACATAGGTTAGTCAACCTCACTAATCAACCTCACCACCTGCCAACTAGTCGACCTTTGTGACACAGTAACAACACACCTATCAACAAATCATTAGGTATCTGTGATCAGAGAAGCAGAAAAGCAACAATAGATGTGCTAAATAAAGCAATCGCTCAAGGACAGATGACACAGACATTTCACACACATACACTGAGAATGATGTGTTTTGCTAACTGGCAGAAACACAACTATTGGCTCTAAAACAAACTTTTAGAACGTGAGGGGGCAGTCTGTGCCGTCCTGCTAAACCAAATGCCTACATGGCAGCGTATACACGTGTGTGTGTGTGTGTGTCTGTTTGCATGTAAGGTTTGAGAGCGTGCTGGACAGTAACAGGCATTCTCTAAGGCTTTAGCGAACTTTCCTGCCGGCTCCAGACCTTATATAAAATGTGTGTGCAGAGTAGATGCTGAGGTAAAGGCTGCTCTCTTAGCGTCTGCCTTTAGACTCAAAAGCACGGCGTAGAGCCAGCACCACACTCACTGTAAGATGTACACACACAAATGGAGCCAGTTACCGGGAAAACTGAATTATGTAGGAGACTGTGTGCATTGACCAGAAAATTTGAGTTTCCCAAAGCGTCACTACGTGAATTAAAATTCGATAAACACACACACAGAAGCAAGGAGTACGGGCAACTTTATACCAAGACATACTATACTAACTCAACTTCATCATGACTAACGTTGTAGCTCCACTAATGTGTCTGGAATCTCTTGTGAGATCAGTTCTTGAAAGGCTCACCGTTTCTCTTCTCCCTCTGATTGATTTGGGTCCTGCTCCTTGGGCATGTGTTCCATTCACCTTATTTCCATCCAGCAGCCAATCATGTGAGACTGAGGCGGGCCCCACCCTCGAATGCACGCCTGTCATTCGCGGGATGTGATGAGTCAGACAGTCATCGGACAGCACTGCGGAGCGACGCTCGCAAACCAACCCCACCTCACTCTCCAACTCAGACGGCCAGTGATAATGCAGCAATATGTGATGAGGTCTGAGAAAAAAAAAAGAGAGAATCAAAGTTAGCATGTGCTCTAATCAATGCAGAATGCTGCAATAACTTGCGGTGATTAAAAAACTTTTGCATTTTTTGTGAGTAGCATACAGTTTCATGGGGAATGCAAAACTTTTGTGAGTGAATGCAAAGTTTATCAGGTGAAGTTTCTTGGGGGAGTGCAAAACTTTTGTGAGCAAACAAAAAGGTTATCTGGAAGGCAATTATAATGAGATATAATTGTTCATCTGATTCATACAAACTAAGAAGTATATGCGAAGTTAAAGATTTTTTAATTTATTTATAATTCATGTATTTATAATTTATATATTTTAATATTTATTTATAATTTATATATTTTATTTGTTTTTATCTTCATAGTATTTTCACCACTAGGATCACTAATATTGAGAGTTTACAAATAAAAGTAATCTCGTATCAATGTATTAAAAAATAATGCCATGCAAAAATAATGGCATGACCATCACAAACTTTGGCAAATCTCACTATAGTGGATTTAGTCAATTGTATTTTTTTTGAGTGAATAAAATAGATAAATAATAATAACTCTGGTCTACATTCTAGTCTGAAACTGAGTGTCAAATGTGTGTGCACCCCCTCCTCTTTTAGCTGTCCGTTCCATGTGACATGCTTCCCATGGGCTCTCCAGACCATAGCCGGCTCACTGGACTTTCCTGGAAACAATTTCGATTAGGAGGGCCCTAATTCCATCTCTCCCTTTACCCTGTAAAAACCCAGGAGCTCACGTGCACCGCTAGGCTGCTCTTTCACTTCTTTGGCAGCAACAATGTGTCTTAAAACCTGTGTAAATCGCAAGGCCTCGACTGCCTCAATAATCTGGATTAGGTGGTGGGATATTGAGAAAAACGATGATCTTGATTCCACAGGCTACTTGATTTTGATGAGCTGGATCAATTAAATGGTCATTTCACCTGGATATGTCGTCGCTTCCAGTCTTTTAACTGTGTGTTTAGACTTATTTGTGTATGCAGACTGTACTGAATTGGACACACAAGTCTAAATATAACAGATGAGATTAGACAAAGGAAGTCGACGTGTACGAGCAAATTAGAGATTTAGCAACACAACTAATCGGTATCCAAACTTAAGTCTCTGTTTTGTTGTTGTCACAGGTCAATAAGGTCAGACAATGAGCCAAAAAAAAAGGCACTGATCCGGGTTTTTTTTTTTTTTTTTAACTGGGTGGTATACCAACTTTGTAATGTACACCGATATATTTTCAAAAACAAAGAATAAGACAATACTGTTTTAAAGTACATTGAAATACAGTAGTTTTGATGTTGTGCATCTGAAAAAAGTAAGGGCACAGAGTGAGCAGCTGCGGGGAAAGATCCAAATAGTCCTAAACATGAGACATGCTTTATATTAAGGACTTCAAGCTTGCTCATGAGCATTTAGTTAAACTCGGCTTGCCCTGTCAGGTGCTCTGCCAGATACATGTGCTAACAGATACAGTGTGCAGTTTGAGACGTGTTTTCCTCAGTGCATAACTTATGTTTCAAGTTATATTCTCACCTCTAAATGTAAGAAAGTCACATGAGTATTTACATTTTGCATAAAGGCTTGTCCAGACAGCAAGTGAGTCTATGCTAAACTTCACAGACTTCATGTCAAACAAGCGCAATAGAAAGGGAGCACAATAATTCTGAGTAAAATACACATTTTTATATAGCTTTTACTAAAATATTTGTTGTTATATGTTATATGTAGGTTTAAAAATCTAAATGTGGCACAAGCAACTGTATTTTTATGAGAGCAGTAACTGTAAAGGACTAGTGTAATATAATTATTATATTCAGACGAGTGAAAGTGTGTTCCTTCGACCTCTTACCATTTTTTTTTTGCACATAATGTACAGCCTAGACTACACAAATAAATGCATATTTTCATCATCATATTTTTTTTTTATAAATACAAAAAATTAAAACTGTCCTTTAAAAAAATCAATTAATTGATTAATTAATTAAAGAAATAATCAAATTGCAGCCCTAGTTTAGTTATTTGGAGATTATCCAGATTTAAAGGATCAGATAAGCAGCGAAACTATTTAATCTGTATAGAATGCCATGATTATGTAGCATCTAAAAGTGGAAGTAGTGTACATTCAGCCTAGTCTGTAGAAAATACCAAGATGTATATCGTAAATTTGCCATCAGCCTAAAAATACACAGATTTTTGGCCCGTATCTCTCAGCCCTAATTCTTTCTTCAAAGTAAAGTTGTCTGGCCTCCTCTACAAAGGCATCTTAAGTGAAAACTGATATATCGAGGCAAATTCACAAAGTGATCTGCTGACAGATGAGCATGTGTAAGTGTATATCGATGTTTCTTTGGTATCTATTATGCACACAGTTACTAAGTGCACTCCCCAAACAGAAACCGAACATGCCGTGCAGGCCCTCTGAATCCATCAATGAATGGGTGGCTGTGGACCAGAGGGGGGAATTAGATCGTTTTATTGTGTGTGAAGATAAAGGAAAGGATCTGGCGGCTTAAGCTCAAAGCTTGACAAAGCACAATCACAGAGCTGAGACCCGCAACGGGACTCCATGATACTCGTATACTGATACGGCAGGGATACGCTTGCGTATCGCCGCATCCGAACGGCCCATATTCTGACTGAAGAGGTGCTTGGTGATTCAAGCACATGGCTAGTGTGTGACGCAATCCTTTGACAATGAAGCCAAGAGGACATTTGTTCTGCATTAGTTAATGCTCAGCTGGCCTATCATCTTTCATCGGAGTTGCCTGTTCACATATTCGCCAGCCTAAAAGGCCTTTTCATCTGCCTGTCCAGCTGATGTGTGTTAAAGTGTGTTCCCGTCGATTGTGTGTAGAGTTAAGTGTGTGTATGAAAATGTTTTTAAGCGGGTTATTACCAAAACACTGGTGACACTCGGTGGGACTGCTGCAACTAATCACAATAATTAGTCTCCAATGATTAACAAAGGATTCAAGAGGATTATGAGTTATGAGAGAGAAGCTGCTCATACAGTACTTCAAATGGTGATGCTGCCTCCTGATTGGTGGATGGCCCTTGAAGGGATTGTTCAAACAAAATTAAACGTTCTGTCTTATTTTTTTTGTCACTTATATTTCATTGCAGATCTGTATAAATCTGTATACTTCTTTTTCTTGTGTACAGCAAAAAAAAAGATGTTTTGAAGAAAGTTCATGTTGCACTCTTCACACAATAAAAGTGGATGGGGACTAGGGCTGTCAAGCTCATAAAACAAAACTAAAGTAGTCCTCATTTTTCAAATCGTCAAAAGCCATACAACCACTTTGTTTGAGGAACAAATCAGAATTTACATTTCTCATGGTGACATCTGTAAAAAAATATTTTTTGACTCAGTGATAAAACGCAGATGACAATTTATTTACTGTGGAGGGGCAAGTTTTGTGATTCTATAAACACCGAAAAGCACTTTTCACATGGCCCATCACGTTCAAAGTTTTTTTAAATATCAAAAAGGATTTATAAAATGACTTTTTGATTGATCCCTTCCTGTAAACTCAGAGATGCAGTTATATGCCTTATGTCCTTCATGAGAAACAATTATTGTCTGAATAGGGCTTATGGAAAAGAGCAGCTTAGACACTCTGCTAAATATATCCTTTTGTGTTCTACAGAAGAAAGAAAGTCACATGGTTATCAAGAACATATCAAGGGTGAGTAAATGATCATTGAATTTTGGGTCAACTACAAAGCCCTTCATTATCACAGCCACATGGCTAAAAGGTACACACGGACAGTCTCGTCGCTACCCATGCCTGTATACTGTAGGAGGTCCACCTCTCCCTCCTGTTCAGTCAAGGTCAAAGTCATAAAGCCCCATACAATCAAACATACGGGATCTATAAATGTAGCTTTACAAGGCAGGGCTCCTGTTAAACATGCAACTGATTGAGAACAGGGACAGGAAGGAGACCAGGAGCAAGAGAACGAGAAAAAGAACATAGCAGATTAAGTTTAATTCAGCATAGGGCCATAAACAAGGAAAAAAGCAGAGGTGGTGTTTGTTAATGATGACTGTTTGTTTTAGTGTCTGTGTGTGTGTGTTGTAAAAAGTGCAAAGGGAGCCAAAAATGCACAAAGGCCACATAAATTTTAAAGTGTAGCATTGCAGGTATCTTTGACACTGCACCTGTGTACGTAAGTCAAATGTGTGAGGGAGTGGGTATGCTGTGTGTGTGAAGGGCAACGCTTGACATATATGTTGACACAGTGCATACATTGGATATAAAAACTGCAGCAGGTGCAGCTGAGTAAGGTTTTCAGCCTCATTTTTCTTGCTGCAAGTTTGTCACTGTTTTCTGCATTCTCAAATGCGGCACTAAAACTTTTTAATTGGCAAGAAGAAAGTGGACTCTGTTTCTCTCTCCCTCTGTTTGCCTACTTTCTTCTTGCCATTAATTCAATGCTTTAAAATGCTGGTTTGAAAGCAGCCTGAAAAAGAATAATTAGTTAGTATGTTGCAGAGTGAAACGGCCTCTGTTAATTAGCCAATCTCTCTCACTCTTTCTCTCTTGTTTCATGCAGGACAGAAGGCTCCAGTCTTCCTAATATAGAAAAATTCTTTTATAATTACAATTATATTTCTATAAACATTTTTACATCACAGCCACAGTACAATTAAATTACACAGTAAGTTTAAAAAAATATTAAAAAAATGTTAAGATGGTTAAAAGACTGGCATTTTCATCTGGTGGGATTTGACAGGTTGGCCGCTATACTTATGAACAGCTAATGACAGAGCACTGATGATTCAGGAGATAAAGATTCCAGACTGTGATTTGATATGATCTCAGTGAAGGCCACGCTGTGCAGATGCCATTATGCCAGTCGGAGCACACCATCCTATAATGAATGTTTCACAAAGACGACAAAGCCAAAAGAGATCCTTGTATAACCAATCAACTTGCCGCCTTCGAAAAAGAGCATTTTCTTATGCCAAA